TGCCGGAAGAAGAACACACATCCCATGACTGGCAACACTAGGTGATGCAAGAGCTGCAACCTGCACAGTGCTGCCATGTGCAGAGGCTCTCTCCAAGCCCTCAGGCACTCACACAGCAGCATAAAAGCCGGCCCTGTGCCTTGCTCTCTCACACCACTCTCCTGACACCTTCTCCTCTGCAAACCTCCAGGTGAGCCTGAACCCCTTGCTGCCTTTCTTTGGCCACCCCACTTGGCCAAAATCTCCATGCCTTGCTCTGCCACCAAACTCTGTAACCCTTCCACCTCCTCTCTGTCATGCTCCCCACAACCAGGCCTCCTCGCTGCCTGGGAACCCAACGCCATTGCTTCACTCACACCTTAACACCCTGCACTCACCCAATGTCCTCTCTTGCAGAGACCCTCCACCCCACAGCCATGTCCTGCTACGACCTCTGCCGCCCCTGCAGTGGGGGACCCACCCCGCTGGCTAACAGCTGCAACGAGCCCTGTGTCAGGCAGTGCCAGGACTCCCAAGTCGTCATCCAGCCCTCCACCGTCGTGGTCACCCTGCCAGGACCCATCCTCAGCTCCTTCCCCCAGAGCACCGCCGTCGGATCCTCCGCATCAGCTGCTGTGGGCAGCGCCCTCGACGCCCAGGGAGTGTCCATCTCCTCCGGCGGCTTCGGCTTCGGAGGCCTGGGCTGCTTCAACGGCGGCAGAGCCTGCTACCCCTGCTAAGGGCCTGCGCCCACACCCTGACACCAAACACCTGCACCCTGCAACGCGCCTCACGCACTGAGCTCACGTCTCTGTCTCACCCATGGCACAAGGCCACACCAGCCATGGATCTTCTTCTCATGGCACAAAACAAGCAAGCAGGGAAAAGCCTCGGAACAGGCCGTCTGCAATCATGAGGGCACTTACTTCCTTCTGTCTTTGCACCTTACATCGTGACCTTTCCACTTGGCGGTCACCAGGTGGATCCTTCCTTTTAGTGTGTTTTCCTCAATAAAGTTCTCATGCATGCCAGCAGCAGATTCCTCCTCTTCATTCCTTTGCTTAATGCTCTTTCCATTTCACCCACTACGAAGATATGGCTCTAGACGTGAACGTGTTGGATCCAAAATGGCCTCATGACGTCCTCTTGCAACCACGTCACCTTGTCGACAAGAGCACTGGTGGCTAGCAGATGGCATTCTGCTCATCACATTATATTCTACAAAGAAAGCGAAATAGTCCAATTGCACTGCTCAAGTGCAGTCAGGAATAGCAGGCTGTCCACAGTCAGCTCCACTCCCATCACCCTGGCTTTTCATGAAGATACTGAACAGCACTGGCCTCACTTCCTCATCTTGGCTTATACAGCTATCAAATCACCACATCACAACTCTGTGTCACTGACCTCAGACCACCAGACCCCTGTGTTCAGCCACTTTATAGTCCACCTCAGCATCCATTTACCTGAGGAGATCACAGATTGTGTGTCTACCAGCACATCATGTGAGGAAGCCTCCAAGCATTTCCTAACAACAAGGTCATCAAGTGTCCCTGTAGCCCCTCATGCACAAAGCTGGACACGTCAGTGAAAAAGAAACTCAGGTGGGGCTGTACATCCGTGCTCTCTATTCCCATCACATCCTATCCACTCCTTGCTCGGCAGTACTTTCGGCAAGGATTTCCTTCACCTCCTTCCCACTGACTAATGTCAGGCCAACCAGCGTGCGGAGCCTCACACCTTCCTTCTTCATTTCTTGAAGACAGGAGGGGGATGAAGCTCTTCCCGTTTTCTGGATCATCTCCTCATTATCGTCACCTTTCTAGGATAACTGCCATCAGTGAAACAAGACATCAGACTGGACCCTCAGCATTTGTGGCTGCAACACAGCAGGGCCTTTGGACTCAGAATCACGGAATCACCAAGGTTGGCAAAGACATGCAGACGAGCCGTATTCCTTTCACCAATATTTCCCAGGAAACCACGTCCCTCACTACAACATCGAAATGTTTCTTGAACACATCCACGGTCAGTGACTCCAGCACCTCCTTGGGCAGCCCGTTCCAGCACCTGATCACTCTGTCACAGAAGTACTTCCTAATGCCCAACCTCCATCTCCTCTGCCACAACTTGAGGCCATTCCCTCTAGACCAGTCGCTAGTTACCCAGGAGAAGAGACAAAGCCCCACCTCAACACAACCTCCTTTCAGGTAGTTGTAGAGAGCCACAAGGTGACCCCTGAGCCTCCTCTTCTCCACACTAAACAATCTCGGCCCTCTCAGCCGCTCCCCATAACACTTGTGCTCCACACCACTTACCTGACTCATTCTCCTGCCCTCAACACACTCCAGGGCCTCGATGCCTTTCTTGCACTGAGCGGCCCACATCTGAGCACAGCACTCAAGCTGCGGCCTCACCAGGGCAGAGTACAGAGGGATGATCGCTTCCCTGCTCCCGCTGGCCACACTATTTCTGATACAAGCCAGGACGCCCTCTTGGTTATACGGGCACACTGCTGGCTCATGTTCAGTTGAGAATCAACCAATCCCCCCAGGTCCGTTTCCTCTAGACAGCCTTCCAGACGCTCTGCCCCAAGCCTGCAGCGTTGCCTGGGAGTTTTGTGGCCAAAGTGCAGGACCCGGCACGTGGTCTTGTGCAACTCCATCCCATTGGCATCAGCCCTGTGATCGAGCACTGCTCTGTTGGCTCTTCTCTCCCCTTGTCTCGTACCGCTGAAGCCAAAGATGAGCACAGTACTTGAGGTGAGGCCACAGCAGCGCACAGCAGAGTGGGACGACCCTACCCTCTCCCACTGGCACTTCTCATCTCGATGCATCCCAGGTACGGTCAGCCATGTTGGCTGCCAGGCCACACTGCTGACTCAGAATCAACTTGCCATCAAACAGAACCTCCTGATCTCTTTCTTTGGGGCTGCTCTTTAGTCTCTCATCCCAAATACCCAAGTATCCTCTGGGTATCCCAATGCCAGGTGGACAATCAAGCTCTTGCCCTCATTAAACTTTGTGCCATTGGTGATTGCCCAGCCCCCTGGTCTCTCAAGAGCTCTCCCACGGCCTCCCTAATACTGAGAGAGTCAACAGCTCATCCCTAGTCAGGATCATCCAAAAACTTCTTAATATGTATGCATTTGACTCCTGCATCCAGATCATTTAGAAAGGCATGGAAGAGAACAAATCCCAACACGCAGCTCTGGGTAATCTGACACCAGACTGGTCACCTGCCTGATGGAACCTAATCTAAAAAAGCCTGAGTTGGACTTGGGAGCCACCTGTTCACACAACCTATGATGTATTTTTGTAGATACATGCTGGAGATTTTCTCCAGGAGAATTTGGCAGGAAACATTAAGAATAACTTTGATGAAGATGACAGAAATTATGCCTATTAGGTTCCCTTGGGGAATGACATGGGCATTCATCTCAGAAAGGGAAGTGCCATGATTTCAAAACCAGGATACCTAGAATGCCCAGACCAGGCTTCCAAGGAGATCTGGAACTGGCAACTCCTCTAACAACAAAGACACAAAGCAGAGTGCACAAAGGCCAAGCAATGACCTCACTGTCAACACTGCTCCCATTCTGTGCTTTGGCCACTACTTCCGCGTGCCATGACTCGAACGTGCAAGAACACTCCAACATTCTCACTTGAAAGGTGCCGCTGCTGTCAGAAGGACACGTCCTCAAGAGAAGGACGCAAAGAGGCAGAGTTGCCGGAAGAAGAACACACATCCCATGACTGGCAACACTAGGTGATGCAAGAGCTGCAACCTGCACAGTGCTGCCATGTGCAGAGGCTCTCTCCAAGCCCTCAGGCACTCACACAGCAGCATAAAAGCCGGCCCTGTGCCTTGCTCTCTCACACCACTCTCCTGACACCTTCTCCTCTGCAAACCTCCAGGTGAGCCTGAACCCCTTGCTGCCTTTCTTTGGCCACCCCACTTGGCCAAAATCTCCATGCCTTGCTCTGCCACCAAACTCTGTAACCCTTCCACCTCCTCTCTGTCATGCTCCCCACAACCAGGCCTCCTCGCTGCCTGGGAACCCAACGCCATTGCTTCACTCACACCTTAACACCCTGCACTCACCCAATGTCCTCTCTTGCAGAGACCCTCCACCCCACAGCCATGTCCTGCTACGACCTCTGCCGCCCCTGCAGTGGGGGACCCACCCCGCTGGCTAACAGCTGCAACGAGCCCTGTGTCAGGCAGTGCCAGGACTCCCAAGTCGTCATCCAGCCCTCCACCGTCGTGGTCACCCTGCCAGGACCCATCCTCAGCTCCTTCCCCCAGAGCACCGCCGTCGGATCCTCCGCATCAGCTGCTGTGGGCAGCGCCCTCGACGCCCAGGGAGTGTCCATCTCCTCCGGCGGCTTCGGCTTCGGAGGCCTGGGCTGCTTCAACGGCGGCAGAGCCTGCTACCCCTGCTAAGGGCCTGCGCCCACACCCTGACACCAAACACCTGCACCCTGCAACGCGCCTCACGCACTGAGCTCACGTCTCTGTCTCACCCATGGCACAAGGCCACACCAGCCATGGATCTTCTTCTCATGGCACAAAACAAGCAAGCAG